CTGACAGTTTATGACCCCAAGCTTTCACCAGCCTTGTGCAAAACTGTCCCCATGACCACATACCAAACATGCTAAAGCTTCCAACCGCAACTGTTTCCGCTGGGAGGACTCTCTTTGCAGAACATCAAGATTTGCTTTCCCAACATTAGCAAAATATTGCCAACAGCTTCCTGTTGTTGCATAGTCTGAAGGACTAGAAAGACAAATGCTCCATGAATTCTAGAGAATGGCATCAGGTAGTTGATTAGGTTCAGTGCTGTTCAACACACACTGTACCCAGTATAAGGCTTCCCACCCCACAGACTCTTTCTAAACTCTATGCAGTTATTCTTCTCAAAGATCATAGTCCATGTTTTTTAAAAAATCACGTTCACCTTAAGGAATCCATTGTGAGACTCAGTTTAAAATTGTTCAGACTCTGGATACAGAATCACAGTGGGTAGCTACTGGAACAACAAAATTCCACTCCACCGTCTGTTTTCTTTGATGTTGTAAGTGAAAAGTATATTCACAGAGGCTAGAAGGCACTATAATGGTCTCATATCCAGACAAACAAAGAAAGCTTCATATCCTTTTATTAATATGATGGATTGTCGAGCCTGAAAGAACCTCAAAACCGAAAGGCCTTTTGAAAGCTTTCTGCAATCTGATTCTGCAATCTGATTTCTTTTCTGTAAAGACGTCTGAACAAGCTGGAAACATATGTCATATGTGAAGTAGTCATTACTAGCTAACTTCTAAATTAATAAATATCTCTTTTTCCCCACTAAAGGCTAAGGCAACAACATGAAAATCACAGCACAGTTACCTTAAAAACAGTAACAGGTCTTTAGGATAATTGTCTAAATCCTTGGGAATCCCATGCAGTGTCACCATCTTCACCAAGCACCTCAGCTGAATGGACAGTAGAGTTTCCATCAAAGGAAAAAAAAACAGCATGGAAACATAATGAAAACAAAGCAAAAGGACAGACTGTGCTCTGTTCCAAGGTAAGATAAAAAGAAGACAGAAATCAGAGAGGTTTTGGTTCCTGAGAAACCTAGCCAGTTGGGCTGTGACTTCACCTATCTTCAGAGAAATTCAGAGCCATGGGATAGAGACCAAGGACCAGTCCCTTTGGTTCTAGTCCCATAAACAGGAAGTGCTCGAGTTCTAGATGAATGATCCTGATTACCGCCTTCATGACAAGATCAAAAATTGCATTTTAGCATATGGAAACTGACCTCATCTTCTCCTAGGCTGACATTCTTCTGCTTCATGACTTTGGCCAGCTGCTGAAAACTTTCCGTTTCCATCTCATTGGCAGCTGCACATGTGAAGCCTTGGAGGACAGACTGGGAAAGCCTGAACATCCAAACAGAGCAAATCACAGGGACGTCAGAAGGAAAAATCAATATTGATCACATTTGTAATAAACAAATTTTACAAGCATATACTTCCCCTCGTCTCAAAGCCTGAAGTTCTCCAAACTCCATCCTCTCAAAATCACTAGTCTTGACATATGTGGGAACTCAAGAAGCCATCACTGGCCGCATAAACACAATCTGCAGATTTGTACTGGAAGCTGAAAGGCAAGGACAGCCTGCCCCCCTCCCCCAGGTAGTATTGCTGAACCCTGATTTAATCAGTCTGCCTCTCTCTGTTTTCAACAAATGCCATCCTTCAAAACTGAAGGGGAGCTGTGCAGATCCTCATCACAGAACACAGCTTTGACAGGCTGGAACAGCTCAGGGAAAAGTCCTTAAAACATTATTTGGTTTTTATATGGAGAGGCTTCTACTGTGACATTAACATGACGCGGATGTCGATTCCATTGTTTTTCCCAGCTATATTTCATTGTTTGCATCATTTTTCATCACAGATACAAGAGCTGGCAAAAGAGACAAATCATTCTCACTAGATTGTAACCCCTGGAATAGCACTGTGTAAGATTGACATGTTCTCCAATTAGAAATGCCTTCCACAGAGTTAGAAGCAAGGATTCCAAGCACAGTCCAAGCTAGCAGCATTGTTTTAAGATGTACGTTGGCCTTATGGATACATTTTGCAGCTCACACTCTGGTACACCTTGATGCTACCCGTCTGTGTTCAGGTTTGCATGGTATTTCCTGTCTCTTGCTACGGAATACATGTGGTGGGATTGCCGCATGCGACAAAGGATCAGCAAACATGGAAAATGGAAGGAGAGAAGAAAAATGCTACCTGCTGAAATCAGGCTCTGTCTTCATCACATCGCTGAAAAACATGGCAGCCTGTGGAGCAAAGTCGAAGAGAGTCAACGGTTTACCAAGCTCTTCTGCAACACTCAGCTATACTTTCAGACAGATTTGCAGAGTGGACTTACACCCCTACAGTGTCGAAGGCTGACACTGAGGGGTATGAAGGAAACAAACTGCTAGCATATTACCTGTTCTCGAGTCCAAGTTTTCTGATTGAGATCCTGAATATTAGGCTTCTCTTCCCCAAAAACAAGCAATGATTTTGGAATGTAACTGGCCAGAGCATCAGGGATGTACTTAACCAGGTCAGTAGGGTGGCCTACAGTGGAAGAAATCTAAAAAAGTACATATAATTCAAACCCTACGGCTAAAATAAACAACTGTTGGGGAAGAAATGAAGAATTGGAAAGGCCAGGCAAATTCCCCTGCTGATCACGTGGGCATGTCTCAGAAACCTAATGCTATGAAATATTTCCTGTTTGACATATCTGTCAGACTGAGAGCCGCTTGGAGCTAATACCTGGGGCCCTGACTGGGAACAACCTTGCCTGTATCAGAGTTTCCCAGCTCCTGGCTCTATCCCCTAAAAATGTGTGACAGGCCAGAAAGGCTGGCACTTCTTCCCTCTCTGCCAAACCAAACATCTCCGCTTGCTGAAGGGCACAGTATAAAGCAATCCCTAAAGCTTGGCACAGAACCCTCACAGCTAGCTGCCCCAGGACAAGCTTGAGACAAGGTCCCAGGTGCCAAGCACAGGTCAGAGTCTTTCCTGGCAGAGGGAGACTGAACAGCAGCAAACTTGAATGCTGCACATGCCAACTTGAAGACTAAAATCATGGCCAGTAAAAGGACCAAAAGACGTCCAAATCCTACAAAGTCACATGGGGGAAGCAAAATAGAACACTGCTAGAAGATCAGTCTGCCCTAAAAGGGCCTTTCTGAGTTGCCTTTGCTTCTTATATGTTCTCACTCCAAACTCTGGAAATGACTTTTCCCTGAAGGCATATTTTCAAGTCAGCAGGGAGTAGTTTCTACGACTACCCTACAGAGCAGCTATGTCTTTCCTGACACTGGCCTAAAGAGGCTCGGCATAGGCGTGGTGGCTGGCAGCCAAGGACGTCTATACAGGCACAGCAACAGGGACTCGAGACGCCCATCTCTGCTGCACCCTCTGGTTAGCAATGACAGCCCAAAGGGAACATGGACTGGGTGTGCACGTGTGCCGATGCCTGGCCTCAGGTAACCACCAGCGTTCTCAGCCCTAAGTCACTGGGCCTTTGCTAACCTACAACACCTCGAAGACAAAAACAACTTCACCTTTTCCACAAATGCCATTTTCAGAGCAGAGGGTAGGGTCACCATTCGCTGAGCAAACTCAGGCAACTTAATGGCTTCCAAGATCACCTTTGGAGGCAGACTTTGAAGTAGGCTGCTGTTGAGGCCAGCCACCAAGCTCCCTAGCTTTGCCAGGCTCTGGCCATCTGGGATCTGAAAAGCAATGCATACAGGCAAGAGGACATGACGGGCCATACTTTTTTTTTTTTTTTTTGCAACTACAGCTATACCAGATGTGAGGTGCATACATGGGCCTTATCGTTTGTACCTGATAGCCAGAGCTGAGCAATTTGTTGATAATAGAACTGGACTGTTCAGCATTCCAGCCATGAACTTCCCTCAGGGCAGGAAGAGATGCTTCAAGGTCTTTACCACTGATGCTGTTCTCTATCTGGGATACAGACAGCCCAACAGCAGCCTGGCCCAATGCACGCAGGATTGCAGGAGGGAAACGTTCAAACTTTCTCACCAGAGTGGATGCAACCTGAAAAGGTCCCATACAGACAAAAGAGGAAGTCAGAGGAGCTATGAAGGGAGCCTACTGGATTCCATAGCCTTTGAGGTCTTAAATCACTGGACTTTCTGCTTCACAGACTTTTGTGATGAAGCCTGGTAACAGACTTCCTCTACCCACCAAGATTTTGCTGATGGCAAAACAGCAGCCAGAGGCCACAATAAAAAAGCAAAACGGCCTACAGGACTATACAGAAGAGGAGGCTCAAGAATTGAAACCAAACCCTCTGACTAGGCCAGTTACTCCCAACCACTCTTCCTGGCCCCCAAATCCAATCTCACTCCCAGATTTGTGAATCCTCTTCCAAGCAGGAGCTTCATTTCCACAAAGGAACCTGCACTGGGCAGAAGACCTACTCCACTGCCCAGGAGCTGGGATGGCTAGGCTGTGCCCACGCTCTGTGCTCATCGCTGTAAGATTGCAGCAAGCTCAACGTAGCAATGATAGTAACAATGTTTGAGGAGATCATTTAACCTCTCAGTGCCTCAATTTTCTCATCAATTAAAGGGGATAATAGCACTTTAAAGATTAGCCCTGACCTCAGCGGGGACCTCATCATTTGTAAGAGGTTGAGAACTGTTTATCTGCTGCAGGATTAGAGCTCTTTCTTCTTCAAGAAGAAAACATTTCCTCATATATTTTGTTTACTTGAAGGAGGAATTCCTGATTCACAGGGCTGGCTAGGACGTTACCTGCAGCTCCTCTGTTGTCAGGGAGGAAGAGTGAGCTCTCTCCTTATTTGCTCCCGTGTGCGTCAGGTTCGTGGGGCAGTTCTTACTGATCCTCTGGGCTAAGCTCAAAGCCTCATCTCTGCTTAGGTTGCTCACTGCGGAGGGGCTCAGGTAGCAAACAAATCTGTCTGGGAGACTGCAGGTGGGAGACAAGGAGGAGAGGTTGCACGTATGACAGCTGCTCCATCAGAGATCTCTCCTCTTTTTCCAGAGGACGCTCTCTTCCAGAGTGCACTTCCCCTCACTTGCTTAGGCTCTGACAACGCTCCTGTTTACAGAGAGCACTGTTGTGTCATGCAAAACTGCCCAGCTGCAAGACGCACTGCTGGTCATTAGCTGGTGGATTACACTGTGTGACAATCGCTTCCCATGATTTGGAACTTGGGGTCTGGCCCTCCCCAAGATCAACTGCAATGCAATTAAAAATGCAAACAGAAACACGCTTTGTATATCTCATGTAAGCAGGCATCAGAATCACCACAAAGCAAAACTGCCAAATCAAGGTACTGTGCTAAATCATGAGTCAGGTAGGAAGTAAGGTCAGACCCCGTACCTTGATAAGGGGAAGCTGGGCCCAGAAGTCAGCAGCAAGGTGTAATACACGGCTGTTGCCCGGAGCAAGGTGAGGTTGCTGACCATTTGTATATTGACTGGATCTCTGGCAAATTGTTGAAGCTGATAAGTGTTACAGGGGCAGGGGGAGAAAGGAAAAAAAAAAAGGATTCTTTAATCCTGAGGCTTTAATGCTGGCAGCCACTTGGGACAGTTTGAAGAGAACCTCACTTCAAGCAATATGATCTTTTATATCTGGCGTTAGAGGGTTTTTTTGTTGTTAAGTATCATACTGGACTTTTGCTTTATTTGTCTGTGCACTCCAAGGGCATGTATGCCTCACTCTCCGATTGCTATAAGGCACAAAGGTGGCGCTGCTGCTAAAAGACGGTCCTGCCCACTCATCCGGCTCCTACAGCATCTCTTGCAGGCTGGCCTGGTAAGGCCATACACTAAACTAGGCCAAGACATCACTCCAGTCTTGAGATAAAGACTGGTTCTGCTCCTCTTATTGATTCCACTTTGCTTTCTACAGAATCACCTACATGAAATTAACTTCTGTATAAGTGAAAAGTTTGTGTCTCTCATCATGAGTGACAAACCATGATAGGAAAAAATAAAGAACCAAAGTGACTCCTCATCATAAACAAACACCAGAAATTTTCCTGCTGGGGCAGCATCTCCATGACACACATCCTTCAACACCATTGTGAGCCTGCACTTACTGTTGATTCATCAGCAAAAAGCTGCAAGTCTCCAACAGTAGCGTGCTCCATAAAGGATCCTAGATAATTTTCAAACCAAGCAGTAGAATTCAGACCAGGAATGGCTGCACTGTAGCATTTCTGTTTTGACCCTGCAAAACAGGCAGACACCATAAAACTACAGACCCACACCGCAGCTGAAAATCAGTGAAGATAAGAGATTTCTGAATACAGAGCAGACTTTCATCTGTCAGAGAAATAAGCCAGCAGAGAGCTCCTTAAGGGCCTGCGATCACACATTACAGTAAGAGCAAGCAGTTTTATAGAGACCTTTACAAGTCTTTACATGTGCCTTTCTTTGCACTGGTTCTGCACAGCCCTAAATCCAAAAGAATGAAATGTGCTTTCACAGCAATAATTAAACGTTCAAACAGTCCAGTTCATTTTCTGTTTCTCTAAAGTTTTGCTTCTCTTTACATGCATTCTATCCATCACTTGGGAACATGGAGCCTACGCAATACTCTAGCATATATTTTCCCAGTCAGACCAAGTAGACGCTCAAATCCATGCATTTGAGCATTCAGGTCACAAACGTACATGCGACAGGATAGAGGCCTCACTCTTTCAGAGCCCTCTGAATATTTCATCACAGGTCTTCCTTCCTTCCTTCAAATCTGCCAAAACCTTTTGCAGGAAACAGAAGTTTGCATGCAAATTACTGCCTTAGGACAGGTGAAGTGCCTTACCCAGGTCCCCATCTGAGCTAACTTCTGAGCTGAACTCTTCACCTCTCAGAACCAAACTCTGCACTGACCTTTTGCAATGAAAGCAACAAATGCCATTTGCAGAGGATGTAAGTCAGCACAAAACTGCCTCTACTGATTTAGAATGGCTTAAGAAAGCAAGCCTTCAGGCAGGGAAATGATTCCTGATACTTCTCAGTGTCACATTCCCACTCTATTCGCGCTGGACAGACAATATAAATTCACTGTAAATCTGCAAAGCCTCAGCTCTGTAACAGATCATGGCTGTTGTTGTAACGTACATTAGTGGCTTAAACCATGCTGTTGTTTCTTAAGGAAAATCAAGTCATTTACCGTCCTGGATAAGATAGTACTTGATCCCATTGTAAAGATTCCTCTGTTCTTCTACTGGAAGGTTAGAATAGATGCCATTCAGGGCAGTAACTCTAAAGAAAGATAAGAAAGACAGATGAAACCAAACCTGGCAGGGTAGGATTCTCACAGAAACAGCAGTTACGTGGAGACTGGTCTTATCACGCACAAAAAAGTCCCTTTTCAAAACCATCAGCATGACTGCCCTTCACAATAGCCCTCACCATCTGGGCACCGCGCTACCAATCCTGCAATAGTGCTTTGCAAACCCAGTGTGCGTGGCTGCAGCACGCGTGCACTGGCCGGTGCAGAGAACCAGTACAGGGGCAGCGGCTGCGTTGCAAGGCCCAGGGGAGAGGTTCTTAGTCAGAGACTCCCCTGGGCCTCCATCAGTTCACAGCACTTGCAGGGTTTAGCCCTTTGTTTCAGCAGACGGGAGGAAGGGCCACTTTCCTACCCCAGCAACACAGGACTGAAGCTCATGTTCAGCACTTACATCTTCTGAAAAGTCCTACACAACACGTTTTTGGCATGGAGGCAAGCAAAGACTGTGGGCTTGACCAGGAATGGCTGAAGCCCCTCATGGACCCATTGAAACAAAACAGGTGGGCTGTCAATGTCAGGTACTTGTAACATCTTCTCCCACAGGCCATTAGTGAAGATCATGCTCCACTCTTGGGAGAGAGGCACGTGAGAAAACTGAAGGCAAGACACAAGGAGAAACATATGAACTGAAGTGAATGCAGATCTCTAAACACGCACAGAGGTAGACCCAAGTGAATGCGAACATTATGAACAGAATCACCCCTAGCCATCATTCCCCCTCTCTACACAGCGACTCTTTCACCAAAGCTGTGTTTCTGTGTTTGTGCAACTCAAGTACAAATAGGCTCTAATTCACATTGGAGCCACAGGTCTTTGTTGTCACTGCAATTAGCAACACATAACCTACGCGAACTTGTTGCTTAAAAATAAATTTAATTTCCATCTCCCCAGCTAGTTTTGACAGCAAACACCTCTGCTACACTGGCAGATATCTTTTGATTGAAATTGTGCCCTTTCTAAAATAAGATAATGTTAGGACTGAGCTAGAACAGTTGAACAGTCATATTGCTTCTGAAGCCCCTCTGCAGCCCACTGCTTTGCCTTTCAGTGGAGTTAACATTGCAGGTGAACAAACAGTCTGACAGCATGCCTACCTGCTGGCTGAAGGTAGTCAGGGCAGCTACAAGCTTGTTAGCATCGTATTTGGAAAAGAACAGAATGGAGTATGCTGGATCCATTGCATCGACAGGCTTAGGGCTAAGGCAAGAATATAAGGATATGAGGAAATCGTCCTTAAGGTCCTGGAGCCAAGCACTCTGAAAAAGGAAAGGGAAATCCATACAGAAATAATACAAAGTGTGTCATATTTAGAGATGCCGCAGTATGCGATCTCCTTTAGGTCTACTTCACTAGCTCACCTATGTGTGAGCATTTGACACTGAAAAGTGATGTAACCTGTTGACAGAAGAGCCAGAAGAAAGTCCAAGTTACATTGACTTGAAACAAGTCTAAACTTACATAAGACCAGATGTTGGATCCTTCTGTTACCTAATCTGCACTTCCTCCAAGGCCAAAAACAGCTTTAAGAAACTTTATTCAAAATATTTTCCCACAAAAAAATGGCCTTTTCAGCAAAACAGAAATTTCCACAGGGAACTTCCTCATTCCAGAGCTATTTTTCACTGAAAAAACAAACTCCAAACAAATATGTGAAAAATGACATCTTTTGGTCAGAAACATTAAAGCAAAAATAGGAATCTTTTATCAATTGTAATTGCAATTGCTGGTAACACAGCAACTTGGAGACAACAAGCAAAGCAGGAAGGGATGTAAATCTGAAACATTTCAGGTGACATTTTCCACATTGCAACCTCTTTTTACTGTGCTCAGGAGCAAGTTAGCCCTGCTGGGTTACTCTTACGCAAAGATTTGTTCCAACACTCAGATGCCAATTTCTAGGAGCTTATTCGTTTCAGAAATCTCCATTGTCTCACTTTCTTATTTGAGTGGTTTGGAGAAGACGGCATCACCCACTTCCACAGACAGCCCCAGCAAGGCATCCGTGGTGGGGTAACATGCTGTTGAGTTTCGAGACATGGAGCATGTGCTGCATGGCGTGGTGTGTGGAGATCTCCAGACCCCTCCCAATAACCACATGTCTGAGGGTGACATTGCACCAGGAAGGCCCAGGCTTGGGAACTGCAGCTCAGTGGCCCAGGTGGTCCCAGAGTCCCTGTGCCCTGCATGTTTGACCCAATCCCTTCTCTCAATCTTGTGAAGGAGACAGTGGCATTTCAGTGCCTCAAGCTTGCACAAGCTTTGGTCACTCCACCAGCCTGGGGTGGGAACGCTTTTAAGATAGAAAGGGCACTACTGTCCAGGAAAACTAGGCACCAGCCCACAAAAAGAAGGGGACTGCCAGTACCTGCGCACAAGCGTATTGACCAAACGTGAGGTTGCAGGGGGAAGCTTGACCATGGGCTATCTCAAGAAGCATCTCCTGGGTAACACTGGTGAGGAAAAAGCAAAGTCATCACCTTCCTGGCAGTCTCCCAGATCCCATGGCAGCTGGGGTAGGACTGGCTGGGAGCAAACACACCGTCAGCAATGTGTCTGCAAATACAGGCATGGAGTTCAATGGCCTGATTCCAGAGCCCATGCTGCTAGGGATAGGCAGACAATGAAAACTGTTGGAAAGCCCTGACCACAAGCTTCTATTCATTCAAATATATGCAGTAGGAACAGTTATTAGCTGCTCTTCCGTAAAGGGTCCAGCCCACCCACCAAGGAGCAAAAGCAATGCCAGGCAGCCATAACAACGAGGCACAGCCCAAATAACAAGTACAGGGAAGCGAATGAACAACACAGAGGTTAAGAATTATTTCCTGACACCATTCAGGAGCAGGGAGAGGGTACTTGTAAATCATTGACCCTTAGGAAGAAATCAAATTGAAGAAAGGCTGAGAGCTGACCTGTATGAGTTCTAGGCCCCCACTTACTTGCCCAGCCTTTCTTTGCCCTGCACAGACACAGAGCCCCAGGAAGGCACCTTCCCTTCACTGCTGCACCAAGCACCCCAGCCTCCTCCTTGCCCTCAGATGACCCTGGGCCTCTCCAGGGAAAAAGGTGCTACAGCTGTTTTCAGAAGTTTCCAGACACCCAAAGTCACATCCCTCACAAATTGGTATCATTCCCAGGGAAAATGCTGCCAAGATAATTTGTTGGTGGTTCACATACCTTTTCACTGAAGCACATACAACAGCTTCTGATTCCCTCAAAAAAAAGAGAGACAGGGTTAAAGGAAATGTGACAAGAATACACAGAGAGCTGTGTATCTTCCTTAGGAAAATTACTTGGCAAGAAACTCACCATTGACAGGGCTGCTCAAGCACTAGACAGGGAGAAAGAGAGAAGAGAGATGATCTCGTGTAGTCATAACGGTAGCACAGCATTATTTGTGACCATTTAAATTTAATACAGACAAAGGTGTGAGCTGCAAACATTTGCACTTGGACCCGGCCTGAAAACACACAAACGTCTAGATCCAGAGCTCCCACCTTGCCATGTTAGTTGCCATCTGCAAAATTCAGATCAGTACTGGCTGTGTACTTCAAACAGCTGGAAAGTTCAGGGCTATGTGGATTCCCCTGTCTTTCAGGCATCGGGGCCAGCGAGATGGACCATTCTCCCAATGATTTGAGTGAGGCCACATTTGAGTGGCGCTTTCATTGCACTGCTTGTGACATATGTGCACTGAAGCCCTTCAAAGATCTGGAGAAGACATCCCTACCCCACACACTACTTAGGAGACCCGAAGGGGAAGGACAGTTAACATCCACCTCCATTCTCAGAGCACTGAATTTGGTTTGTAGCAACTAATTCCCATCCATGTACTGCTATGAAGAAGGGGTCCACACTGACCACCAGTCCACACATACTTTGCAAGCGAAGGCATGGGTGATATATATATTACACATGGAGTTTGTCTTACTGGATACGTCCCAGAAGAAGTTGCAGCAGCTGCCAGCCAACCTGGAAGACAATGTGCCAGGACTTTAGTCACAAATCTGTGACAGAGGCTCATTCCCACAGTCCAGCCCTTCTCTTGCTTAATAGACCCTGAAGATCACTCTCATCTCACTAAGTTATTTTATTCTTCATTCTTGACACAATATCTCACAGAATCATTCCTGTCAGACCTTACTGTTGTTTCCTCTTTGACACTGTGACAACAGGTTGACTGGATAGATGGACGTGAGGTACTCCTCTGCCTGCTTGGGGCTGAGCTAGTGGGGGACAGAAATGCAGTGTCATGACTGACATGAGGGTTGGCACATCATGTCCCCGTGCTCTGGAGAGCAGCCTTGTCAATCCCCCTGCACTGCTTCCGGGAGGGGAGGTTGTGGAGGAACCCACCATCTGGACAAATGGAGGCTGTCCCTACAGTCCATCCACCTGCATCCCTCAGCCATGCCTGTCACTGGAGAGCCCCTCAGTGCCACTGGCAGTAAAAGCCTGCGAACCGCAGTGGGCAGATGCACATGGTCTGGCTGATTAAGCACAGTGATCAAGAAACCCAAAAAGGAGAAGGCAGGGAAAGAAGCAGGGGAAGGGCCTCCTCTTCTCTCCAGGACTTGTTTGCCCACTATCCCTTGTACACCATGGCCAGATAGCTGGTCAGTAATCAGCCCGGAGGCCAGACTAACCGTGCATGTGCTTCCATGACGTCTTTAGATTTGCAGCCATCTACTTGTCTCTTACAGCAATTCCATCATTATCTCGACCATAGCTAAGTCTGTGTTGTATTTCATACATTTCTCAGGCTAAGTCCTCAACTGGATTAAAATCACTGTATTCCGCAGAGCTGTACGTGATGCAGATAATGCCAGAATGTGACAGCCCTCACTCCAGACCTGCCCAAAAGCTTGACAGGGATTTACTTAAAGAAATGAACCTGCCACTACTGCCTCTCGGCAGGCCTGTGCAAGCTCTCCACTTGTCTACACCTTGTTTTCCAACTTTTACGTTGTCCCCTAATGACAATTGCATTCCCCCTTTTTGGGCTGCGTTGCATACTGCTTAGGAAAGCAGGATTTTCCAGCTACCTGCTGTTGCATCCAGGCCACCTTCTCACTCCCTTATTGCTGCAACTTTCTCCCTTTCATCTCCAGCCTTTTCTTAGCACCCAAAAGACTCTCACCTTCTCTGCTGCCGTGAATGCCCTGTCAATGGCGTGATGTTGGAAAGGTGGTGAAATGAAGACTTGGGAAACTAGGAGCAACAGAGACAGCCTCAAATCACACTGGCATTATTATTTACTTTGGATTAGGAGCCAGCCAAGCTCAGCATCCCTTGTGTACAGACAGAGAAAAGCAAAAGGTAGAGTCTTCCCACTAGTTTCTGACAGGACAGAACAAGTGAATGTAATAAAAACAACATGAAATGAGAGGTGGTGAGAGGGAGAAGGTAGTCATTAGAGGCTCCTGGGGTTACACAAGCAGGTTGACAGGCACAATTTGATAGACTGAATCACTGAGGAGCTGTGAACAATCCCTTGAAGCCAACTGACTTCAATGACTTTGGATCAGGCCCTACTGCTGTCAGGAGGCCGCAATGGCAATAGGAATCACCCTGACACCCACCTCATCTCCTGCTTTTTAAAAGAAACGGGCCCACAGAAAAGCCAGCCTGAGCCAGGCTGAGCAATGCCCAGCAGGCACACACAGTTGGGGGCAGAGACCACGCACAGTGCGCTTACCCCATAGTGCTAAAGCGCCCATGACTCACGGCCCTGTGTGCCCACTTCAGGGAAGTAGAGTCAGGATTCAGGTGTTACCTATAAATATTCGGTCAGCAGTGACTCACAGCGGAACATGGAGAAGTCGAGCCCCAAAGCCACAAGCACAGGAACATCTTCCCTTCTGGGGAAGAAGGAGAGAGAAGCTCCCCTCCAGCATGCTGATTTATTATGTGTTGCTGTGTCCTGTGGTTCCTCCACACCATACAGCTAAGAGACTGGGCTGAGCAGTCTCAGGGCAGGAGGCTCCGTCAAACACTTGGCAATACTTGGGCACAGAAATCAATGGAATGGGACACTTATCCCTCAATCAGGATGGGAAAGAAGAGGAAGAAGGCAGCTTTCCTGCGTGTGGATGTGTTCAGCAGCCTAATGACCCACATTAGGAAGGGAATTATAAAATGCTTTGTAGAAAAGCATGAGAGGAGTCTCTGATTAGTAATAACAACTATTTTGATTACTAGCTACACCTTTTAAATCATTTAATTAATGGATAACTGTCACTAAGTAACAGGCAAAGGAGCCATACCCATAGCTGGCCAAACACAGCGCCTTCCTCTACGCCTAATGCACAATAGTTTGCTCCTAGAGAAAGCTGTGAAAGAGTTACAAAATCATAACGAAGAACTCAATGCCAGAAGCCAGCCCCAAGGCCATGCTTCCCTGCTTACAGACAAAGCCAGAGTTGTTTCTACCATGATAATTGCTTCCTGCTCACCCAAGGACTGGACCTTGGAAATACACAGCCAAGCCCTCTGGCCCTAGTCTTGGAAAGCTCTGAAGCGTATGCTTGATGTTAAGCATGTGAATCAGCCCATTGACTCGAAAGGGCAGTGCTCAGAGACATCCACATGGGGAGAAGGAGGAAAAGGAAGACTGGCTTCTTGCTCTGCAAGATCAGAGAGGCCCCCAACTCACTGCATCACAAAAGGTCCTCACTGTATGACAGTAAATCCCCCGTTGCACTACATCACAATAAAGGCTATGGACTCAGCTTGTGTCATGAACCATCTAAGGTATGTGAGCATTGCTCTGGGAGTAATGCCATTCCAAACCATTGCTAGTAAAGCATGGGAATAAAAACAAAGTACTCCAGGCTGTCACGAAGCCTCCCATAAAGGCACATACGTGGAAGGGACCAGGTCCCCTATCTGCAGAGGTTGTGCTGCTCACAGTCACTGCTCTCCACAGTCCCACCTCACTGAGGGCACTCAGTGCCACAAAGCTGCTGAGCACTGCCTGTTTTCCCAGTGCTTCTTAACCTTTACAATAAGGCCATTCATTTTGATAACATGGCATCACTACGCTTCGATCTCCCACCCTTTCCCTGCTAAGATTAGCCACTGGTCCCTTTGAGAAAGATGTTTGAGGGACTTTCAGAAATCGGTGCCTTCTCTTTCGTTTCTCTTTGATCTGTCCCCAAGAGAGACAGTGTATGCAAGCTGTTACATTCAAATTCGCTATAAGCTCAGTGCGTTTCTGACAGTCTGCCTTTCCTCCATCTCCAGCTCTCTAGAGCTTTTTACATAAAAAAAAAATTAATAGATAGATGGGGGCAAGCATGGCCCAAAGAAATTGAGTGATTTCCCAAGGCTGTAGGCTGAGCCACTGGCTGGTGTATGAACGCATCACCAAAATTACTGACCTGCTAGACTTAAAAACAGTTGCTTTAGAGAGCCATTAACTTTTACAAGCAATCTGCACTTCTCCTTAACAGATACATCTCTCCTTGTACAGGATGGTGATATAAACTTTTCAGACTTTCATCAGGGTGTCCACAGTACACTGGTCAGTGGTGAACAGCAGCAACTGCTTAACTAAAGGAATAAAGGAAAAAAAAGAAGTGATCTGCCTACTTGCTTCCCTTCCCTTAGTAGAGAGAACTAAGCCTACTGCAGAGAAAAAGATTATCTCTCTTTTTGTAGCTGTTCCCTAGCTGGTGTCTTATTAGCTTGTTTGTAATGTTGTAAGTTCATGTTTTATTGTCATTAATATTCATTGCAAACATGATCTCAAGTCTGATGAAGAATGAAGGACAAAATGCCAACACTTTCTGAAAGAAACAAAGATCCTGCTTTGGAATCCCTTAGTAACAAAAAAAAAGGGAGGGGAGAAAGAAGAGGAATACAAAAAGAATCAGATGCAGATACGGCTATTTCTTTAGCAACTGCTTTCCCAGAGACACCTGGATACTCTAACAATGGGGCAGCAAGCAGACAGAGTGAGAAGGAATTCTAATTTTGTCCTTCTACTCTGTTAATTAGGAAACGAATATATTTTGGATCTCAGATACAACAATAAATGAGCATAACTAAAGGCTGGGGATTTAGAGCGACAACCAAAATAATTTTCAACGGTCTTTAAGCACAACTCTTCCTTTTGGGGATTATCTCAACTACAGCTGCTAGTGAGGACAATCATCCTGGGACAACCGTCACCTTCGTGGTAGTACTCACCAACTGAAAGGAGGAAGCCCAGCCTCAGATGCAAAGATGTCATTCTTGCAAAGGTCTTCAGGGTGCCCATACATGCAAGGAATCACCTTATTTCAGCCAAGAAAAATCAAATATGAATAGTATTTATTTGCAAAAAACAACTCTGAGACTAGTAAAGTTAAAGGCGCTCAGTAAAACGACAGTCTCACAAACAAGCGTACACATGCCAACACCCTTCACAAAATCTATCCGAAACTGGACCTAAAGCACATAAAACACTACTGAGAGTCCCCTCTGCCTGGCAGAGCGTGGAGCTACATGCAGAGAATTCAGCTCGTTAATCTATATTCGCTGCCAGAGATGCCCTCACATAAGCAGACTCCTCTTTGGTGGAGGAGCATAAACACAACTCCACTTGGAGTTACACAACTCCACTCGGACTGCTAGTTGCAACACTTACCCACAAGCCGCTAGTCACCTGGCCCTTAGTGTGGAGGGCTACAAGCACAGAGGGCTGCTTTTCACTGAACAAACTTGGGCGTGTCTCTGCCTTCTCAAAACTGCATCTGAAATTACAGGATGGATTTGGAGTGCTGGACACACCTATAAGTCTTGGAGAACGCAAAGGTTTGGCAATACAAATAAATGCAGGTGTTATTTATTAACACTTGCCATCCCCTAGGATACAGTAGGAAACACTATGCCCAAAGTAAAGCTACATGAAACGGGCAGGAGGAGAGCAGGAAATAGGCCCGTTCCCCCCTTGTCCTGCACAGGATTCCCATTTGCCATTCACAGGAGGTACCCACGAAGCACAGAACAAGGCTATACGTCCAGCTATACTGGCTCCCAGATCCTCCATCACTAAATTCTAGAGAAACGCTTGCCACCAGGAAGTTTTGCTTGAGCGCAGTTTGAAGCACTTGGTCCTTAAGATTTCTGTTCTCTCCAAATGTCTCCACCTGGGAAACCCCACACAGAAACAGACGGCAGCTCTTCCTTTGGTCAGCCAGGCCACTTTCAGACCACATGTATTTCCAGCTGGGATCTCTGCTTCAGGCTCAGCCTGAAGCATGTAGCTGTCAAGCCAGGGGTAGAGGAATCCGGATAGCTGAAGACAAAAATACAGCCCTAACAGTAGCATGACATCAGATAAAAAGCTAGGACTGGCACAGACAAATCCCATGGCACAGTTGTTTATCAAGAGAATATGAAAGACTTTGCTTGCAGAGGTGCTCAGAGGTGCTCATGGCCCACCGGCCTCACACTGAGATGCCTGACACCTGCACCCACAACTGTGATGTGGGTCCTTGCGTCCGCGCTCACCACAGCAGCTCATGAGCGCTTGCTCGCAAGCAGCGTGGCAATAAGACTACTGAGCAGGGATGCTATCATCCAAAGGAAAGTTCTTGGCAATGGCTCCAGAATTGCAGTCCCTGAGATTCCTGTCTCCCTATCATCAGGAATGGAAATGGCCTTTCACTCAACAAACCTTCATTTATTTCCTCTCTGCAAAGTTCCTAGGATGTAACTTTATAGGCTTTCCAATTCCTGCAGGTTGCTCTATTCCAGAGTCTAATCAATGTTCTTACTAAGGAGCTCACATGTGCTTATGAGGAGTTTTTATGCAGGAATTGCATGCTGCAGAGCTAGAAAATGACATGATGGGTTTGCCCTGTTCCTTTGGCTGAACAGTAGCGTGGCTCTTTCCACGGTCTCCCCAGAACTGTGCATCAGCAGTCAGGAGATCTCCTGATTTTGACTGATCTTGCCTTGACCCTAAGCTATTAGTTATCCCATGAGCACTTCAGCAAGAAAAACCTGGCAAGCACAATCACAAGAATAAAAACAAGATCTGCTGCAGATTCTAACAAGGGATAGATATTAATTACATTACTGTCCACTCACCTCACACTTCTCACTGACCAGCACCCTTGGAGATGAGCCCCCAAGCTGCTAAGAAATTGCTCACAGTAACTCTCAATTTCTCTTGATGCAGCAGTGTAATTCTCTATCCTAAGATTTGAAAATTTTGGCTTACTAGCTTCTGTGATGCTGTACAAGGGAAAATTTTCTATAAGCCAGTTATGTCCCAGGCTTAGACTTGTCCCATCATGCGCAGCTGTAATACATGGGTTCGTGACAATGCAGAGAAAAGCTGGTTGACTCACAGTACCACCCTGCACCCAAACCCCTGTTTTCTCTGCACTCCCAGTTTTCTTACAACACTTAACATGTTTATCAGCTATTTCGGAACTAATACAACAATGTTGACTCACACATGTAGTTTGTCTGACTCAGGGGTGCACAGGACACCAATCATTACCCTGCCTCTCATCAATATCCATCATAAGGCATCCACATCTACATAAACTTGAAATATATCATTTTTGTAAATAGCCAGATTCCAAGTTAAAATTAAGAAACTTCTTCTTCAGGAAATTCAAATGAGGTTTCCTTGATATGGATGGGAGATCCTTCAGTCAAGTTTCAAATACCACAGCTTTCAGGGTCTTGCACCTTTTGGGAAATCACCACTGCAAGCAGGCCATCCACATACGGAGGGTCAGATATGCGTGTGCTGCTGTGAGCCTTGGATCACACATGTGGCTGGAAGAACTGTGGGTCCATGTAAGAATCACCCAAGACAGCAACAAACACTGCGTTGCACAGCAGGCCTCTGCTGACTGCGGCCGCACACACGGCTCTTCCCCAGGGAATCAGGAGGTGAAATGCAAGAACAGCAAAGATGTCAAAAGCAGAAAAATCAACACTGAGCCTCAGTCAAGCATGAGGAAACCAGGAGAGGGGGACAATGCAGATGGGACGTCAGGATTTTCTGCTTGTGTTAGTTGGGAAATCATGCATACCTAAAGAGCGCACAGAGCACTCCCTTCACGGAGAGAGAAAACAGAATTCACAAAGGCAAGGAAGAGCTTTCATCTGTAAATCAATTGATGTTTTTCTTAGTTCTGGTCACAAGATGGCTGAGCAGAAGCATCTAGTACCTGGAGTTTGTGTCCATCCTTGAGCAGCTATGAGCCCTGAGCACAGGTGGGAATCCAAGACCGCTAGGTGTGGTGCAGACAAGAAGAAGGTGTTTGATTCAAAGAGCACACAATTTAGGAGAAGATGACAGACGGAGGAGCTCAAAGACTGGAGGACAAGCAATGATTTCAACACAGCAATAGGTAAGCCATCATCACATTTTTTGCATGCTTCAGAACCAAAGGAAAATTATAAGGATTACAACACAATAAGACTGGAGCTCATTTGTGGATATTGTAACTGGTCAAGCGAGTCTAAGAGCTACAGCTGGCTTGCAGATAGAGGATTTTTAGCTTTTGGATGTGATGCCACGTCCAGCCTCAGTGCTCTGCAGCACTGGAGGCTGAGAACAGCAGTTTGGCTTTTTGCAGGTTTTCCTGCACTTCCCAGATCCCAACCTGGCCCAGCCCAGGGACACGGACCACGTTAATACATAATGCTCAGCGCTGCTTAGCGTAGTGGTACAGTTTTCAGACCAGAGCAGGGTAAGATCACCCTGATGGATGGCCAGAGAAGAGAATGTCACAGTCTTACACAAAGCAACATGAGTCTGGACAGGCCAATTCTATGTCCATAAGTCAGTAGTAAACTTGATGCTAACTGGAAGGGACGTGGCCTATGAGTTTTATTCCTATTATCTGAATATCCTTTGCAGCACACAATGATCTGGGTGGTTACTGTGACTAAGCAAGACTGAGATATTCACAGCCCACGCTCGGGCAGATGAGTCTTTTGGCGGACAGAGCACAGCACGCTTTGAGCCCGAGAAGTGGAGCTCTCCCTGACATTAGCCTCATCTGCACCCTGTTCCCTTTCTAAGCCCTGCTCTCCCCAACCTTTAGGTACTTTTCTCTTTTTCAGCATCAAGCTTCTTGGCTGCATACGAATGGGAACCCATAGCATGCAACACGAACGCTAGCAAAACTTCTCCGTGGGTGACAACCAGAGATCTCCTCTCCCTCCTCTTTCCTGAGAAACACAGAGCAGGAAGGGGCTCTGATACCGCCTTGTCCATCCCCTGCCCCATGGTGTGACCATGCAGCCAGCCTGCCCTTGCATAGGGGATTTTGAAGCTCACTCGTAATAACAACTTTTCTCAACACAGTAAATTAGGAAACCTCTCTGCCTTCATTTATCCCTCTTCACAAGCCTCCTCTTCCCTATATTGAATAAATCCAATGCCTTCAACGTCATCTTGCCTTCTGCTCTAATGCATGACTTTCCCTGTGATAGCAAGTAAGGAGTGAAGCCGAGTTTTGCATCGTGATCTCTCATGTGCACACCACGGGGCCTGAGTAAGAGAGGAGCCTGCAAAATCTGCAGTGGGAGGGCAGGAGGGGGCCGCGTCTGAAATGCGGTTTGTACCACAGGAAAATGAGTCAGTACATTAATATCCCTCTTCTCACCTGGCCTGACTGTGCATGCATGGCTTCAAGTATGGCTCAAGTGTTCTTCATTCCCACTACATTGTACAATGGATGTCCTAGGTGTTCCTGCCATGTTAAGCCAGGTGTGGCAACAGGCAATAAACCCTTCCTGGTCCCATCTCCAGCTCGCACCCCACCCATCCTGCTCAGCTCAAAGTCATTGCACTTCCCCAGAGTTTTCATGCAAAACAACACGAGCCTTGAGCTTCTACAGAAAAGTCAAGTCTCCCCTTACTTCAGGAGAGTCCTCAGGGAAAGCAGAGCTGGTTAAGCTACATATATGCTCACGCTACAGGTGAAAAACACACCAGCACACATGGGCCCAAGGACTAGCAAATTGCAGGAGAAAGTACTACCCCAGAGGGGTCGATACAGAACATTTGACCATGGGTTTGGTACTGCATGTACAGGATGGGACTCACGTTTTTACTAACGTAAGTGAGAGTCCAACCACAGGCGAGCTCCTCTGCAACCTTGCGTGGGCCACTGAGACTCTTGACTGAGTCCAGATAACACTACCACAGCACTCCTTTTCATTAACCCTAAGCCTCCCCAGAATTTTTTAAGCTGCTTCTTTATAGTTCCCTGTAAAGAAGGAAAAGTGTTTCACGAGGCTCCCCATTCAGAAAGGCTGCTTTAATTTGGCTCAGCACTGGTTCAAATATGGGCAGAGATTTAAGAGCCTCTTCATGCCATGGCACTATTCACATGCAACATCATGTTGTCAGCCAGTAACAGCACAACAATAGTCTCTTTCCTAGAACAGCTCCTTTCCTGTGGAAGTCTTTACAAAACCAAATGAATTTTCTCAGAAATTTGCAGGAATCCAGAGAGGTATGTTCTAGAGTTGGGTAAGTCAGTCATTTACTGACTTTGGCTTTTACTGGATCAAAGGGCTACAGAAACAGGCAGTGCATTCAAGCTACAAGCATTAATGTTTCAGAGCATACCACAGCCCTTGGGAGACTTCACTTAAACAGATCACCTGCTAGAATTGAATGCCTAAAAACGATAGTGCCATCAATAAAAACCACTAACCAGTCAACATGGCTACTTCTGCACAACCATACAAGAAGAACAAAAGGGATACG